GATAACCACAGCCGTGTTGGATCAAGGGTTGGACTTGGTGATCTCAGAGGTCTTTTCCAACTTGGTTGATTCTATGATTCCGGAAACAAGGGTACTCCATTTAAGTATTCTTCTGTAATCCAATAAAGCAAACAAAACTATTTTATAAAATATCAAGAGAAACCAAATAATAAATAGATAATTATGGAAAGTCCTTAAAAATGAAAATTCTGATGCAATGTTTAATTTACACGTATTGACTTTTTCACTTAAAGTGGCTCCTCTTAACTTAAATTCAGAAATTATCCTGTGTTTGTGTGTTCAAAACCAAGGAGGCTACCATTAATATTCATTCCAATAGATAATTTATATACACAATCAGGGTAAAGGAATGAAGAAAATTAAAAAAAAAATAGAAATAGGAATTTATCCATTTTGCATCTCACCTGTCTAAAGACATACAGAAATAGAAATGTTGACATTTGAAAAAATACACTTCTTACTCCAATATTCTTGTTCTGGAGTCCTCTAAATGAAAGTGTTTATCGTTGACCTGTAGCTTTTTTTTGGTTTCTTTTTCTCCTCAAGATGCATTAACTTGATGTCACTTGCATTTCATTTGAAATTTATTTTATATAACTGTGTATATTGGCTTTAACATTCTAACCTATTAGTGCTCATTCAAAGGACAGTGTAATTCAAAATGTCATCAGTAATGGGTAGTTATGACATTCATAATGATTTTTTCCTAAAATGGCCAAAAATGGCTTGACAGATTGAATACATTCTCTCTGTGCATTTGCATTTAGTAAATATAGTATTTAGAATATGGTCAAACAATGATTCAGCTTTGATCTGCTAGCCAAAGGAGAAAGAACATTCCTAGCAATTACTAATTGATTATTCTTCTCTCTCTATGACTTTCATGCCGAAAGTTTCCTGGCAGACTGTGTAAATATTGCTAAGGATAAGCTATTTCAATAATTCTACCAGGACTAGGGAATCTGAGGGGAAAATTAGCCATGTAGATTTTAGGCCATGGGAGGAAAATTGTTCTAATGTTAATTAAATCTCTTGATGTTTAAACTTGTATGGCGAAAAAAGAACAAACAAAACTAACAGGAGTTCTTGGGAGGTCTCTAGTCATTTAGAAGATTATGCATTGAAGATCAATAGAGAGTATGAAAACATACTTTTTTTGTTTAGAAGTTATCCGGGAAAGTTCTAATGACCCACCATCTGGAAAGGAAAAAAAAAATACAAAATCCACAAGCAAAGTCAAATTCAGCTGTGCTAGGAATAATACAGTGTAGTCTTTTGCAAAAAAGGTTATTATTGGGAGTATGATAAAAGACATTTAACTTCAAATTGAATTTTGCTGTTTCACATATTTTAAGCATCTCACTTTATACTCTCTGTCTAAGGTAAGAATGAGATTCCATTAAAAAAAAAATCCATATTCTTTTTCCCTTTAATTAAATATTCATGCACGGGGCCTATAGTACCTGCTTGTCTCCTAAGAATCACAGACAAATAAATCACTGCATTCTGAAGGTAAATCTGCAAAAAAAGTTTTCAACAGAGATGCACATAGTAAAACTAAATTCTAGACTGTACCTCTTATGTTGAAGTAAAGGCTTGTCTCTAGAGGTCAGAATTCTGAACATTATTTTACACTGTATTTGTTAATATTGTGTTCACTATTATCTCATAAGGCAGCCAGTTTAGAAGTGAATATTTATTTCACCAGTACACCAGGGACACCAGTCCTTGTTAGGTCTTTTTTTGGTGAAAGCTGCAGATTTAGAAGTTATTGATAGCATGTTGTCTCTTAAACTGGCAAGGCACTGGAGAGCAAAGGTCCTAGGGAGTAAAAATCTGATGTCCTTTTCCATTCCCCACCAAGCAATTTGAACAGAAGGAATTAAGTCATCTTAATGTGACTACATAACACATGTTGTAGAGCCCAAAGGTCAAGTCAAAGGGTCTTAGTAGTTAGTTTTAAAAGAGACAAATTATTAAAAAGGAGTAGTATAATTTATCAGCAGCTGAAGGAAGGGATGCAGCAAAAAAGGGATTCATTAAAGATCATATTTCAGTCCCTTGTCTGAGCAGCAGTGGGTCTGCAATACAGAGAGGACTAAGAGGGTGTTCAGATCTTCCTGCTCTTCCACCTTCTCTTTTCCCTTTTTTCTGGACATATGATATTGCTTATGGTCTCATATGCATCACGATAACCTTATTAGCTATCACTAGACAATTAAAAATCCTTTTTGGAGAAAGATAATAATGTTGACAACCAGCAGTGGATCCATTCTTGTTACTTATCACACTTTTAAAAAAGGGGCTGTGAACACTGCTTCTCTCCTCCTTTTAAAAGTGATTTTGGTCAGAGGTGTCAAAGAAAGGGTACAGGAAACATTTCCATCAGAGCTCTCGTTCACTGTGCTCTCATGCACTTTTGCTACATCCTATCCCCCTTTTGCATTCTCTGCTGCAGTTCTCGCTACTGTGATGCCCTATTCTTGTCCTCAATCTGTCAGTCAGAGACAGATCTCTTCAGACTGCAACACAATATTAACTTGGTATAGTTAAAAATTAAATTTTAGAAAGCTAAGTACAGAAAATATGAAAAATTATTTCTAAGACATAAATTAAAATCCCATACTGTCTTCTACAAACCTCTAGAAACCTGTATCCAGATGGAAAATTAGAGTTATATCTTTTCATAAACTGTCTTTTATTGTGTATGGTGTGTTCTTAGTTTTGACGACTCCTGGTTTCATATTTATGTTTCAAAGGAAATCAAAATAGGAATGAAATTTATAGTTATGAAGAAGAAAGTAATTGTACCAATGCAAGAGGAATGGATTACTTAATATTATACTTCCTTTTTGAAAAATAACTTCTATGGTTCTGTGATTTACTCTGTGCTTTCATAAAAAACCAGGTACATCATTCAGCCTAACTTAAGGCAATATTTGTCGTTCATGATTTTTCAACTCTTATGATTCAACTTAACAGATGATTAAAATGAAATTTTGTATCATGGAATGCAATTCTTTTAATAAGTATTGCTACAGTCTTGCACAATGGCCTTTTTAAGTATCAGAATTTTAATTCCCCGAAGGAGGTAGGCCTATTTATGTTCCAAATGCCATCATCACAAAAGTTAAATCACTTACCAGCTTTGAAGACTAATGTGCAGTCATTTCTATGTCCCTCCTCTGCCTTTGAGAGTGCAAAATTACATAATTAGTTATATTTTTTGTGAAAAAAAAAACAAACACAAAAACAAAAACAAAAAAACAAGCCTTCATAGAATTGAGTGATTGAGCTCATTGCATCTATGTTTGCCCAAATGTTAGGTCACTTACATAGCCTAAAATATCTTTTAGCAGCTTGAGGGAACCTGCTCTAGGAAGACAGTTGCTAGATTAGTTGTGCACCAAAGTAATAGCTTTTTGATTTGCACCTTGGCATAACATGCAAATAAAACAAGTAGTCATGGACAACCCTATAACATTAAAGAGACTTCCTTTTGTTTAAAAAGAATTTATGTCAGGCCTTAATATAGAAGAATTGAACTAAATTTACTTTTGAATAATCATTTGGTTATGAAACTATAGTGGGCAAGTGTAATCTGTGCCTACAAGCAGGTCATTGTGAAACAGTGGAGCAGTAGATTTAAAACAGTGAGAATATACACAACAGGCACATCCTGTCAAACATAGATGAGTGGTAATATCTGCATGTGACAGTAAACAATCAAGGAATCAACTCAGTATTACACATAAGTGAAGTTAAAAAAGCAAACAGAACAGTGTTAGTGTTAAAGAGGAAGATAGAGTGCAGTGCAGGAAAAATTATTTTAAGTCTCCAAGGGGCTTTTAGGATTGTGTTTGGACAGCTGTATGCAATTTTAAGCACATGTATAATCAGAGGCCTTAAAAAGACAGAGATTTAAAAGGTTCACGAAAAGCCAAACTAGAATGAGTCATGTTCAGAGGGCTCACATATGCAGAAAGCGTGGTGAAACTGAGACTAAACTATGAAAGCTGTTTAAGCAAAGTTATTTTTCATGTTTCTAAGGTGCTGTAGATGGTGAGAATGAATGCACACCAAAGCTTGTGATAGGGTTGTGGTAAAAGGGCTAGAGACCAGATGATGAGTGTTAAAATGTAATGCCTGGTCATCTTATGCCATCAGAATATTATAAGTAGTGGTAAATGTGGCTAGATTGGGGTTACAAGTTAATTCATGCAGAATATCTTAACTATAAAGCTATATGAATTATTTCATTTTTGCTTTGGGTGAGAAAAATGTTTTGAAATTGTAAAAAGACTTTTTTGTATACGTGTGCATATAAATATTTTATTTATATTTCCCATAAAAAGCTAAAGACTGGTCAAGGTGATCATCATTACTGAGTGGGTTATACAAAGGCTGATCACAAAGTCAGACAGAGTCACCACTGTGAAAAGCTTACAGAAAGTGCCAGTCTGCGTTGCTAATTTATGCAGGTGCAGCAGTATATTTAACAGATGCATATGTGAGACAAAGTTGAGTTGATGCAGCTGATTTCCTTCAGGAAACATGGATCAGGTCTAGGGACCTCTGCTGCTACCCTCAAAGGGACTTTGAGATGGAGGTCTCTCATACTAACTGGGGAGCTGAAAGGAAGTGACCTTTTTTGCCTGAGCTGTCGATGTGTGTGTGTAAGGCTTGCTCTGAGCATGTGCTTCTGAACAGACTCTCAGAATGAGTATTTTGGGATAGAAATGACCAATTTGAGTATTCCAAGAGGAGAAATGGATTCACCACAATAGTAGGCAAACACAATTTGGCATGTGCAATACCAGAACTTCCTTCACCTAAATAGTTTTAACAATAAAATTAAAGTGTGTCAGCAAAAGTTATTATTTTTGTCATGTGCTTGCTTTCATACCCAAATTGCAGCTGAATTGTCATTTCAGTGGTCAGACCCAATTGATGTGTCATTTTATATTCAGTATTCTCACCATTTCATCGGGACCATCCTCAGTGTAAAATCAGGGGATGCACACACAACCGAGAACTCAAGGAACTAATTTGTTCTAGGATCAGAAGATATGGACATCCAGTGTCACTCTGTTAATGTTCAGTCTTTACAATCCGATAAATTTTTTACTGAGTTGAAGGAAAACGTTCTTACGTTAGGATACAATGGAACATAATAGCAATAGCTGAAATAAGATGTAAGAGGATAAGCAGTAAATGCAGGGAAGAATTCTTTCATTGTCAGTTAGTTTTTAGTTGATATTTTGACGTACAAAGAGATTTTCTGTTCCAGACAGAGTCATTATTGTTGCTACTAGCTTACTACACACATCCTTCCTTGCTCCTTGCAAGTTCTCCATCCCGCCCTAGGCATCCTGACATTATAAAATTCTGCCATTGCCTCATTTCTCATTGGTATTAGACAGGTTTAAAAACTACACTGCTTCTGGAGTCTGTCCTGGTTAATGAACTTTTTTTGTCTTGCTGATGGTGTCAAGGCTTACTTGGTCTATTTTCTGTCTGTGATCCTAAATGAAAAGACCGTGTTAAAGACTAAAACAATTTTTGTCCTGTTCTGACTAGTTTAAAGCTATAATCTTGAGCTTGGCTTGTTGGTGTTTTTTTAATTTTATTTGAACAGTGTTTTTAAATATTTATGCAGGCAAATCTTACTACAACTGGCTGTACCTGAGGGGACTGGGGGTAAAAATGATGTGGCTAGACATAAGACTTCTTTGAAAGAGCTTTAAAAAGTACAGGTTTGATGTCTTAAAAACTATTTGTCTAACAATTGAACTAGTTTCAAAGCAAAACTGTGTCTTCTTTTGTACAGCTTTGAACATAAACCAGCCTCTAGGCACAATATCATGATTTTCCCTAGGGATAATCCATTCCAAAATGGTGGTGGTTTGAGATGGTTTTGTTTTGATTTGGTCTTTTGTTTTCTTTTCAAGCTGGTAGTACCAGCTACTATTCGAGACAGAATGAAGACCTAGGGGGACCCCTGGTTCCTCTCAAATGGTATGAAATCTCTATACCACAGCAATGATGCAAGGATGTTGAATGCATTATTGCTTGACTCTTCTGCACTTTAGACTGGGTATTTCTGTGGAGAAGTTTCATTATTTCAAATTTGAGAGAATGGAATTAGATATCTCTAGCTGTACTTCTTTGGGGATTATTTTGGCAAACTGTTGTTCTTTTGAGACCTGAAGAGGTTTGAATGGTGTACACAGATATGGGTGAGAAAGATAAGGAGACAGAGAAAGGGATGAGACAATCAAAAGTGCATGATGAATGCCGGGTTTTGAAATTAATTACATGAGTCCCGTTCATGTAATAGTCTTCATCTGGAAAACCAGCAAAATGCTTAAATTACAGGACTATCCTTCCTCTGTAAACTTTACTGCAATTAGCTTACAAGTTTTCTCATGATCCATTTCCTTTTTATTTCAGAGTGACTATATTTTTGACTTAGTATGAGGTTCATATGAGCTGTGGGATTTTTAATTTCAATACTGATCTAATTTGAATGTGTAAAACAGCCCAGTTCTCAGTTCCTAGTTCCTGAATTCCAGGAAAAGTATTTGGAAACTCAGTCATACACTGCAGTCCAAGTATTAAAAAGTCTATTTTTATTTCTCTTCCCTATTGCACGACTTTTTCATCAACTTCATACTCTTGCACATTTACATGCTTCAATCTACATCTTTTAATATCTGTTGGGCAAATCTAATTTACCATTTCCTCTCATTTTATAGATTTTTTTTTGAGTGTTTTCTGGACATTTACAGTAAATGTGTATGTTTAAGAGAAATCATTACTTATCCATGATGAGGATGATGTTGTTCTGTGTAAAGTTTTGCTAAGCACATAATTTTATTCAAATTTTAGTCAGAAACTAAAAATCTGCAAAATAACCAGACTCAAGGGAAGGCACAGTTATCCATCAAAAGGTGACTTCACTGTAGTTCTTAATTGCTTTGAAAACAATTAAATTATACTAAGATTGGGGGGAGTAAATATGTTTCAGCTATACAGTAATTTTTAGCCACAGTGCACCAATAAGCTCATGAATAAGAGGTAACCAGCAGTGAAGTAATTATTTTAGTCTCCAAAAACCCAATGATTTAACAGTTAAAAAATGTTTAAAACACCATTCTTATAGAAAATAGTAATAATGAAGATCATAAGAAAATAAGGGAAGGCTTCGAAGAATTATTAACATCAAGTTATGGGCATCAAAGACAAAAAGAAATTGAAAATTTAATGAGTAATTAAGAGATGTTCATTAGGCCTCTCTCCTGTCAAACTGGAGACAGTTAAGGAGTGCTGTTCCTGTCATCTGAAAACATATATGGATAAATTCCCATTTGTGCACCTGAGTGCAATAGTGAAGCTTGACTATGTGACATTAGCAGAAGGCTGGTGCTGAGCAGTGCTGGTGGCTCTGTGGTGCAGTGGTTGCCCTGCACGTGGTCTCTTCCTCCCAGAGGGCTCCACCGTCCAATCCTTAATATCTTTAGGGGGCTCTTCTTCATTTAACAAAAATGCACTGTGAAATTACTGCTGCATGCCAGACCTGCTACCTGCTGTAAACATTGGTATGTTACTTGTGGATGACGTCCAAGAAAGGATTAACTTTTACATTCATGACCAAGTTGTTTAAACTGCAATAGCAAACTTAACTGATAAGTAGTTCAGCCAGACAGACACCACACAAAAGGAAATTCTGGAAGAGTTTGTCAAGAAAAGGTTTATGTGCTGACCACTTTGCCCCCTTATTCTTTGTACTCCATCAATATTGACATTATCTTTCATTTGCACAGTTTGGAGAGAGAGCAAATGTCACATACATAAAGTAAATCTTCAACAATGTGTAAAATGAAGGAACAGCATATATCTCCATTGTTTTAATTTTGTAGACAATAGGGCTGATTGCTAGCATAACTGTGGACTGTGTGTCCAGCTAATCAGAATGCATAAAAATATGTCTTCTCCAGACATACCTGATGGTTATCTCAATTTAGAGCAGGTTTTTCAACTGCAGTAAAGAAAGAATATAATAGATGTGATTTTTGACAAAATGATAGCTAGCTGCACAGTGAAAAGTTCATGAGAATTAATGCCAAATCTTCCATAAAATCATCTCGGAGAAATGAGGTAAAACATTCTATTCAGTGTGCTTCTTCTATTATTTCAGAACTCTGAAAGTGCTGACACAGGATTTAATTATCCATATATGCATATGCAGAGAATAATTTTTATTTTATTTCAAAATTCGTTTAATTTTAATTTAACTATGTCTTGGTAATATACTCAGTGTGATCCTTCCTTGAAACAAAATAAAATAAATATTTGAATAATTTTATTTTCATTAAAAATGTATACTCTTTAATCTCCTTTTTAGCTATTTGTATTAGTATTTTTCATCTCAGACTCCAGACATTTAATGATGTAATGAAAAAAGTCATGGAACCTAAATTCCAGGCTGATCCTCCAGCTGTGATAAACCTCCCACTGGGAATATGAAACAACCAACATCAGAAATGTGTAAAACTTTCAGGAAACACCGGTTACCTTAGAAAGTTTAAAATACAGTTTGGATTTTATGTGCTTATTGAGGCAGTCTCATTTTAGTCTAGAAATGATATTATAATCTCTTTACACTGAAGAGATGGCGCTTTATTTTAAAATGACAGGAACAGTTCTGCAATGCAATTTGTAGTATTATAGGAACAGGTATAGTACGGACAAGTAATAAAAACAAATTCTTCACTCCACAGGCTTCTGTAGGCAACTGCCGGACTTTTCAGAAATGTATTTTTAATAAGAAATTATTTTCAGTCATTGACGTCTTTATTTTTACATCAGTTTATTTTTTTTTTCACTTGCATTAGCATTTAAGAAGTATATGTAAACTGTCTTACCTTCTGAGTTTCAGCTTTCTTGGCCAGGATTGTCCAAACTTATGAAGAAAGCAAGTCCTGGACAGTTCTGCCTTAATAATTGCTGGAAAGTACAATGTTTAATCAAACACTTCCAGGCTAAGAACATGGCTACATTATGAATACCAGATTAACATTTTAATTCCTATATCCATCATTAAAAGCCTGCACCCTGCAAGCCAGATTGTAACACATACGTAGGAGTTAAATGCATTTTTTATATTAAACTGAGCCAATTTGGTTTTTAAGACCCACTGATGGTTTGACAGTTCTTGCAGTTCAGTGTAAAATCTGACCACTCTCTCTGCCAAAAGTGCACAGAGTTAATTAATGACTTCACCTCTCTGTGAGTGGTAAATGCCCATGTGTGAATACTGTGGGCTAAGTAACATCATGCATAGTGCTGAGAGTAGATGAGAGTGGGGTTTTAATGTTAGAGTTAGCTTGGTCATTTCAGGCAATCAGGAATGCAAATGGGTTGAAACTGTATTGAAATGTTGTTATCTGCTTATGAAGTTCAAATCATTTTGCCAGGAGATGAAAGTAACTGGTAAATCCTTCTGGTATGAAAGAAGAGATGCTACCCTTTTCAACCTCCACTGTCTCCAATGAAAGCATGCTCTTCAAGAATGTGTAAGGCATGCTCTTTATTAGTAGTATGATCAAAATCTCTTTAATGCTGATTAGTTTATGTTCTCTTGTCCAGATGTTTGTAAGACCATAATGAACCTCAAAGTATGATTTATGTAAATGTATTGGATTGAAAAGACTTAGTGTTCATAGGACTTTACAATACATTCAGTAAAAAGTGAGTCAACATGTGCAAGTCATTATTTGTAGTGTTCTCGAATGATCCATGAAATCCCTTCACTGGATCTGTAGGAGAAGCGTGGTCACTGTCTTAAGAGTTGCAGTCTATAGAGAGGAGCTTGACATCTGTTATCCATTAAAGTCAAAGTACAGAGGGCAGCTGGAACTGCATGCATAAGGGGTAAAGATTTCAGTTGGACAACACTTTTACCAAAAGATACTGAAATATTTGCTTCAAGGGTCTGGAGTTTGGAGTGTATATGATTAGTGCTGTATTATTTGTATTAAAAAAAAATCCACAAAATTTTTTATTAATTATTAGTTTAGCTCTTGTGTGAGACTAATCTTTTGACAGAATAAAGCAGAGAAAACAGAAAAACAAATGAACAAACCAAACTCTGAAACCAAAACCGGCTTTACGTTAATAACAAGACTTTTTTGAAAACTTCTTGTGCATTTTTCTTTCTTTCTACTTTCTTTTTAAAGCTTTATTGACAAATTGATAATCCTTGCTTACATGAATTCCCTGTACTTCTTGTATTTAAGTAGATTTGAGTGTCACCTAATTTCAAAATGGAATAGCTTAAATAAAAGAATAGACCATTTCTCTGGATTGGCAAATTCTATCTGTACAACTAAATTAACAACATTTGTCAGCAATCTTCACTTCTTAAAATATCTACGAATTGTAATTATATGTATGATTTCATCTTTGCAGTTTTCTGCAATTAAGATATTATTTAAATATTTTGGATCTCATTCCAAAGTTTTTTGGTTTTTTTTTCTAGTCAGAGAGTAAAATTCTCTATTTCAATGCCTTTAATCGGTGTCAACAAGTCCACTAGGTTGCTTTTTAGGAAACAAAGGAGTAAGTTTTTCCCTTTTCTAAACAAGAGGAAAACCATTGTTTGAGAGAAAAGCTGGTGAATAAGCCAGATTTTCTGCTAGATGGAATAATTGATTTATTCAGTGATGAAAAAGTGCAATCTCAAGTAAAATTATTTCAGACAGTTGCTACGATAAAAAAAACTTCAATTTTTTTTAATGATCCATTAATGACTGTTTTTTATTCTAGCTTCAGACACCCAAGAAATATATTTATAGACCACTAAACTAGCTGCAGCTTTTTTTTCTTTTTTTGGTACTGACACAAGACGGAAGTTTTTTAAATTGTGATGGACTAATTCCAAATCCCCTTTACAGCATTTGTGCCTTCTCATAAAATGTTTTGCTCAGCTATTGTTTGAAACACCTGTTATTTTGTTTTTTAAAATAATTTAAATTATCAACTGAGAGCTTAATTTAAAGAAAAATAAATAGGTGTTCCAAAATGGTGGCATATTCCTGTGTGGGTTTTCAAGGAAACATGATCTTTGTGAAAGCAAATTATCCTGCTGTATCTGATATTCAATATCAAATACTTCTGATTTCTTAATATTATTATCTATGAAAGTTCTTTATAGAAAAATGTCTGTACAGTCACAGGTGAAGGTTGTTAATAATATTGATATCTTCTTGGTCAGACAAATCATTCTGGCATGCATGAGATACATATTGATATAAAATCATTAAAGAATATACTCAGTACTTTGAGAAATACTCAAAATGGAAGTGAAAATGTGACAACTTTTGTTTGTGAAACTCAGGAACATACAGGAAAGGTTTGGGGGAGGGTTTTTATTTTTTTTAGATTAATGGCAATGTTAATGTTTTCTCAAAATGGAGTTTCTGTATTTTACATTTGTCAGTGAACACAATAGTGAGCAGCATTTTTGACTGCCACTCTGTGATATTCCTTCCCTGAATGGTGAAGATAAACATGTGATGCAGATATCTTCTGTCATACAAATGTATGCAATTTTTAAGTCTGTGATCAAAAGCTTCCATCAAAAATAGAAAATTGTTCTTTAGTCTTTGTTTTTGTGCCTACTGAATGCTTGCAGCCCTAGGCTTCTGTGCAGATTGCTTTCTAGGAGATTTCTTTGTCTTGTTCCATGCCCTTTTGGTGTCTGTTTTTTTATTTAACTTTTATTCTTGAAACAGCTGTCTCTTCACATGTACTAGATAACCCTCATAATCTTTGCTTCTTAAAATCTCTCCATAAAGCCTTCTTCTCTTAAATAGCCTTCCAGATTTTTTCCACTGTACACTCACAGCAGCACACCTACATTGCATTTTCCTAATATTTTCAGGTGGCAGCATAAGTCCTACAAAGAACTGTAAGCAAGCTTGGTAGTATAAACTAAGTTGTGTGACTTAGGGTCTAAACCTGTTAGAACAATGGTTTCTCTTTTTTTTCTGTGATGCTGCAGACATAGACATATGTAAAGTATTAGCATTTTAAATAATATTGATTGTATCATGGATACATGCACGGAAAGTAAAAAGGCTGTCTTTTCTGAGCCTTTGAAGTGTTTATTCAGACTGCATACTATTTGAGAGTAGGTACAGTTGCAGACTTTGTGCTTCAGCGACTGAGATTAGCTCAGTGGGTTAGAGCGTGGTGCTAAAATGGCAAGGTCATGAGTTGGATGCCTGTGTAGGCCATTCACTTAAGAGTTGGACTCGATGTTCCTTGTGGGTCCCTACGAACTCAGAATATTCTGAGTTCTCTCAACAAACACGCAAAAAAAGAAAACCTTATGGGAAGTTTGACCCCTTTCTGTCAAGAAGCTCAGAGTCCAGTGAGTATGTGCCTTAAAATAAGCAAGGATATCCCTCTCTCTTCGAGAGCTGAAGTGACGCACTACCTCTGGAGCACTGGGAAGAAAAAACAAATTTGTTCAACAGCCAGTATAGAAAGAGGCTGATTTTGCAAGCTACACTATACCTGTGTGCTAGTTTTGTTGTCAGAATGGTTTACAGTATCATAGTCTATATTTCAGTCTAAAAATTCCAGAAATATATGTTGTGGGTATTATTACTTCTGCTGTTATAGCAATTTGAAACTTTGTCCTAGGCATGGTTAAAAGGTCAGGGGTATTCAAATACAAAAAGATTAATTTTTGCTGTCATATGAGTGCACTCAAAGTAAAAGAGAGAGTTAGAGAAAAACTGGCAAGCTGATCCATTAATGTAAAACCAGGCAAAAATATAGTTATTCAAAACAAAAATAAATGGTATTTTCTTCATACAGGTAAACAATATTTCACGGAGTAAGAAGTGAGGTGTGACCTTGACAGACAGACTCACAAATGGAGCTGCTGTATACTATTTGCTGTCACGTTTTATGACAGAGGTTTTAGCAATATACAGTACACATTCAAAATGTTAAAAGAGGAGGTGAAAATCACTGTCTATTACTTAAAGCTGTCTTCCTTGCACAACAAACTGCACTAGGGAGGCAGTAAAGATTCTTTTGTAATACTAAAACATCCTAGTGTGTGCATGCACATGTGTAAACATTTAACTGTGTATAAAATAATGCAGCATCCTAGATTGTGCAGCTGGAGTGGGCATTCTTAAAACAAATGATTTGATGCTAAGAACTTCTTTGCCATAGGGATTTACTAAAGCAAAATCAGAGCTAATCAATTTTTCTGTGAACGTCTCTGTGGGATTTATATTCAGAACTCATAGTAGTAATTGCAAACCAAACCTGGGGCTTTTCACCTTAAATTTCATAGAATTGATGTGGTCTGGCAGATCTGGATTTCAGTCCAGTCATGTCTGAAGGGAGAGGGAGAATGAACAGAGGAAATGATGAAGGGTTTTCAGTCCCCTCTTAGTGCCATGGCACCCAAGAACGTTCTTGGTTATGTGATTTAAGGGTGATTATGCAACTCTTCTTAACATGTGGTGAAAAAATCTTTGACCCAAAGCATTCCAGTACTCCTATAACTCTATTATTGTGGAGGTCAGTTCCAAAAGTGTAAGAGACCTCTTGTATAACTGCAATAACTGATGAAAATAGTTTTCAAAAGATCTCATTGACTCACTAGACATTTTGGTCTGGAGTAGATGTTGCATTACAAACCATCATTTTTGTCTGAAATTCTGTAATTAAAATTTGCAAGATTTTATTATCATTATCTGATCTACACTAATGAAGGATTTTTTGCAGAAATTGGCATATTGCTCATGGAAGCCAATTTATGTTCCATATGTGCAAAGTGATAAAATTATTTCCAAAACAGACAAGTATATTGCCCAGTAATTAATGAATTTGTAAGATGTCTGCACAATAGGTTAAAGTGTTGGCTGTCCAATACAATATTCCAGATTCAAATCTGTCCACTTCATACATGAAGCTGTGGTTCATACAACCCAGTACATAAGACATCACCCTACATTTTCTTTTTCCTAGTGGAGAGGGAGTTGGTATCAAAGGATCATCTGTGCATGAAGCTCAAGCCCGTCAGACATTGGTCCTAGCAGAACCCTTGTGTAAACAACATGATCAGAAACATGGACAAAAAAGTGCAATTCTGGAATACTTGGTAAATTGAGTGAGAATTTTACAAATTTGACAGGTGATTTAACAGC